TCAGAGTCTCTTCTGACATCCATTTTGGTCTTTTCTTTCTTTCCTGTCTTTTTAATGACCTCTTGCTTTCTTCATATATGATGTCCTTGATGTCATTCCACAACTCGTCTGGTCTTTGGTCATTAGCGTTCAGTGCATCAAATCTATTCTTGATATGGTCTCTAAATTCAGGTGGGGTATCTTCAAGGTCATACTTGGGCCCTCAAGGACTTGTTCTAATTTTCTTCAGCTTCAACTTGAATGTACATAAGAGCAGTTGATGGTCTGTTCCACAGTTGGCCCCTGGCTTTGTTCAGACTGATGATATTGAACTTTTCCGTTGTCTCTTTCCACAGATGTAGTTGATTTGATTCCTCTGTATTCCATCCAGCAAGGTCCACATGTATAGTCATCTTTTATGTTGTTGAAAAAAGGTATTTGCAATGAAGAAGTGGTTGATCTTGAAAATTTCTATCCTGCAGTCTCCAGCATCGTTTCTATCACCGAGGCTATATTTTCCAACTACTGATCCTTCTTCTTTTCTTCCACCTTTCACATTCCAATCACTGATAATTATCAGTGCATCTTGATTGCATGTTCGATAAATTTCAGACTGCTGAAGTTGGTAAAAATCTTCAATTTCTTCATCTTTGGCCTTAGTGGTTGGTGCGTAAATTTGAATAACAGTATTAACTGGTCTTCCTTGTAGGCATATGGATATTATCCTATCACTGACAGCATTGTACTTCAAGATAGATCTTGAAATGTTCTTTTTGACAATGAATGTGATGCCAGTCCTCTTCAGTTTGTCATTTCTGGCATAGTAGTCCATATGATTGTCCTGTGCAGAATGGCTAATACCAGTCTATTTCAGCTCACTAGTCCCTAGAATATCGATCTTTATGCATTCTATTTCATTTTTGACCATTTCCAATTTTCCTAGGTTCGTACTTCGTATGTTCCACATTCTGATTATTAATGCACGTTTGAAGCTATTTCTTCTCATTTTGAATCGTGCCACATCAGCAGATGAAGATCCTGAAAGCTTGACTCCATCCACGTCGTTAAGGTCGACTCTACTTTGTGGAGGCAGCTCTTCTCCTGTCGTCTTTTGAGTGCCTTCCTATCTGAGGGGCTCATCTTCCGGCACTGTATCAGTCAGTGTTCCACTGCTATTCATAAGGTCTTCACTGGCTAATTCTTTTCAGAATTAGACTGCCAGGTCGTCTTCCTAGTTTGTCTTAGTCTGGAAGCTCAGGTGAAACCTGTCTGCCATGAGTGACCTTGCTGGTATTTGAATACTGGTGGCTTAGCTTCCAGCATCACAGCAGTACGCAAGCCCCATAGTACGACAAACTGACAGACGCATGCATTAATGTATGCTAAGGCTGACCAATGAGGATACGTTTTAATTTACATGCTTAGTATTTATCTTCATCTGTTATCTTAAGTGCCTAGAAGACAGGGATAGGACTAGTTAAATATGGTCAACACAGTGTCTTACAGATCCATATGAATACATTGAAGGTGCTTTTCAGTTAAACAGTGACATGTCTTCGAATGCTTGGTATATGAGAATGGTTGTGATATAGTCTTGTTTTAATGGAAGGTCTCTTGTACATATGACTGTTAAAAATAGTGTGGGCTGGTATCAGAGACAACGCTCACTGTAGTCAGTGTTAAAGATTAGTACATCAAGGATCCTTACTTAACATGCCCCGTTAAATTGATGTTTTACTTGTGACATTATGGATTATGTCTCTGCAACATCTTTCCCCTTTGTATCCATAACCTCTAAAAGGTTCAATGCCAGAAAGAACAGAACCGTATCTTTATTTTCTCATCACATCCTTTCTTGAACAGATAATACTTTCATTGCTCTCTCTCCAACTTGGCTTTGAGTCACTGCCATGATTCTAGCTGTTGAACGGTCTTTCAAGTTAAGCAATTAGTATTCTGGTCAAGTAGAAATTGTTGTAAGGCTGCCATTCTCATTCAGTGTAGCTAAGGTAGTCTTACTAAATTTATTATTAAGGTCATGTTGTCAGAGGCATATGACAACTGCATTTCACAAAACTTCCTTAAATATTGATACTTGAGATTCACAGAAAATCAAATCTAAGAACTCATTCTCAAATAGTTCTGAGGTTTGGGCACAATAAGCTGTCAAGTTCAGTCAAGCCACATTTACGTTGCTTGATATTTTAAAAGAAAAATTAAGCTGCTGTAGTCTTTCTTTATTTTTACCTGATTAAGTTTTGCTATTGTGTTAATTAATAAATTCAAGAGAAATGTTCTGATTAGTTTCTGTCATAACTGGGAACCACAGTAAGTCAGAGTACTTTGGAAAGTATGATAGTCTATTGGGTAACACCTGCTCATTAGTAGATACCAATTCTTTGCCTGGCTCTATGCCAGTCTCACTAACTGTGTCTAACTGTGTGAGCCTTTTACCATCTGGTACTTTAGTTTCTCTCGAAATTAAAAAAAAAAAATTCTTACCTGTGTTCTACCTAATGCAAAGATTTTTGAAAGACAATAGAAAATAATTAAAGTGCTTTTTACCAACAGATGCAATTTATAGTTAAAAGTTGTAATGTTTAAAAATCATTGCCTTTAAAAAATACTATTTTAAAGTGGTAATTTGCTGTGTAAAAACCACTGGCTCTTGTGGTGTGCTTCATTGCTTGGTTCTAGAACATTTATTTTTAGAATATATTTAAAGACAAGTTTTACTGTTGAATTTGACAGGTATGGCAAGAGGCCAATCTAATGAGCCCAAAGGAAGAATTTGCATAGTATGCAGGTTTAAGGAGCTCTGAGACCAACTTTCCATGAAGTCCACGCTATCTATGTTCATTCCTGTTGAGTGGAAATTTGCTTAAAGTTGACTATTTTCCTCCTTCTGTACCATCTGATTTCAATCTGCGCTTGTCTTTTATAGCTAGAGACGGTTGAATGGCAGCTTAATCTTCAAATGGCTCACTCTGCTCAAGCAAAACTAAAATCTCCTCAAGCTGTGTTACAACTAGGAGTGAGCAATGAAGATTCAAAGGTAAGAAATTCCATCACATTGAAATGATGTATTTTGTTTATTAGGTCTTATACTTACTGTTTGGGAATTCCTGGGTGTTGCAGATGGTTAAATGCTTGACTACTGCCCAAAAGATTGGCAGTTTGAACCCACCCAGAGGTTGCTTGGAAGACAGCTCTGGTAATCTGCTTCTGAAAGATCACAGCCTTGAAAATCCTATGGAGCAGTTCTACTTTGCCCACGTGAGGTTACCATGAGTTGGAATCAACTTGACAGCAACCAACAGCAACAACTACTACTTTATTGTTAGTAGGGTCTTTGCTGTCTGGATTGAAAATTTAAGCATAATTCAATTAAAACTGAGAAACAAGGATGAACAAATTGACAGATCTTTATTTGTGACAGATTTTGATGTCAGATTTAAATATCATTTTGTCATTTATTTATCTGGAGAAATAGCTTGTTTTGCAAGATGCTTTCCTTGTAGGGATATTTCATAATGTCTTCTTTTAAATTCTGCAGTGGAAAAGTTGATGGAGGCCATATAAATTATGCTATTAATGCTTAAATATTTATGGATATTCTTGGGTATTTTGTGTTTTAAGCTACATAGAGTTGGTATTGTTTGTTGTCCAGCCAATCCTGGAATATGATGATGATGTGAATTGTGTTTGTGTATGTGTGTAGTATGTGTGCATGTGTTTAAATACCGGCTCTTACAAAGTAGGATTTTAAATTAGCTTTATACCACATGGCATTTTCTCCTTTAGTATTAATTTCAGAACAACTTGAATGTGGTTATCAAAGGTCAGAGAGTTGCCATAGAAAAGTTTTCTTACTGTGGCATATTAGAGAAATAGGTACTTCAGATATCAGTGAGAGCTATTTATTATATTTTTTCATTATAATTGGTTATCTTTTTAAAATAGAGAAGTGGGATGCAACTTTTTTCTTTCTGAACAGATGAGACTTTATCTCATTTTAAGACAAATTTAGAGTTTTGAGTGAGGTGTTATGGAAGATCTGAGGAAAGAGGGATTACTATGGCTGAATGCAATTTGAGAATAATGGAATCAGTGTTTATTATTTACACTGGGTATTGAAGTATGAGAATATTTTTACTTTTTTGTTAGCACTTTCACCGTTATTAGTTGTATCATGCACATTTCTGTCCTTCTGAACGAACTAGTGCTCTTTAAGGGCTGGGGCCAATGCTCCCCCAGGTTACACATCTTTAAAATTTTATGCCATTGACTTGGGTCATCTTGTATATAATTTATTAAAAAGTATCATTTCATGTACATTTTCACTAGAAAATAGTGCATACTTAGTAATTAAGAGTCAAACTGACTGGTATATTATCTATGCTGTGCAATTTAGTAGCTAACCTTGTGCAAGTTACTCAATCTCTATGAGACTCAGTTTCTTCATCTGTAAAATTAGATAATGGTATCAATCTCACAGAATTTTTATGAAGATTAAATGACTCAGTTTATAGAAAATGCTTAGTCCAATGGCCTACTGTTATGTTAAATGCTCAGTAAATGTTAGCCTCTACCATCATTATTATCGTCAATAATACTTTTTTGAGTGAATGAAAAAATAAACCCCTTGGTTTTAAACCAGAGTTATCATTAAATTTATTTCTTGATGAAATTAATCTATTCCCTTTCCTTGCATTCTCCCTCCCTTTTATTTCTTGACCATATTTTCCATATTTATGCTTTCTGGGAACTGGGGAGAGAAAGGAAAGCTTGGAAAGCCCTTTTTTCCTCCCATGACCTAAAGAAGGCATTCTTTTTATGTGTAGATCTGCAACTCACTGGTACAGCCTGAGATTATTCCATGAGTAAAAAAATACATATATACCAACATACACCAATTAGCCTTACTCCTTCTCTGTTGTGTTTGTCATGTATTTCTTAGTAGCTAGAAGCAATATATAGGTTGGAAGAATATTATTTTGGTCATATGTTGCATATGCTTCAAATCTCATGACTTTGGTAAACTTTATTTCAAGTTTATTTCTAAATATTTATTTCCCAGCTCCTTTATTACATCTTCAAAATGTGCCTGCATGTTTGATATATTTTCAGGCAGTAGGAACAAATGAGTAACATTTCTAGTAGAACAGCCATGTTTTTAATTCATATTTTACTTTAGGAAGGCAATACTGATGTGAAATCCAACCCACTTGAGCCATGGTCTTGAGTTACGTTTGTGTTTCCCTGTGTGTTGCTATTTTAAAATTTTGAGTATATATACATATGTATGTGTGTGTATGTATATATATACACATACATACATATCAGCACACTGGTTAACCTTGTAACTGCAGAGCGAAAGTACCGTTTTCACTGACAAACACACTTAGGAAGAAGAGTAGCAGCACACAAATGTAAAGGATTTATTCTTTTCATCTTGTGCACAGGCTTATGTGAATTCTATCTCTGTATTGCCTGTCTGCCCTATAGCATTGTGTGGACTCAGTCCTTATTTCTTTTATATCCTGCAAAATAGAACCATGATGGAGTGAGTATACAACCACTGTCAACCTGGACAGAACCATGCCATCTCCAAATTTGTGCCCCAGCTTTTAAAGAGCAGTTTGCTGTGCCCCTGCCCCCCTGAATCAGCTGCTACCTGCCATTACTGATTTTTCTTTCGTTTACAGTCTTCCAGTTTTGGGGATCTGCTATTTTATTCTTTATACTCTTACTTCACCTGGTTCCTTGATATTAATTTTTATGTAACTTCTGTTTATTAAGAACCAGAAACTACTTTTCCACCAAACATTTGCTCTGTTCTGAGATGAGAATTCAGAGCAATTCTTTTTTTTTTTTTTTTTTTTTTAGTAAAGCAAAAAGAAAGTTTTATTTGGCATATATTCAGAAAGGCAAAAGTGGGAAACGGACAGCCATGCTGCCAGAGCCATGTCTGCCCGAGTCCAAGGAAATATCACAGAACAGACAAAAGTGGGAAGATGGACAAGCATGCTGCCACAGCCATGTCTGCCCGAGTGCAAGGAACAGTTTCCAGAGCAGTTATTCCCAGGATGAAATATTAGGTTAAAAAACAGATTTGAAGCAGATTTTAAAAAACAAATTTGTTAGAGAGAGAGCTTTTATTAAAAGGAAGGTTAAAACTTACCCCTATTTAGTTTATGATGTAAAATACTATAAAGTACAAAGTTGTCATATAAAATTGGTGTTTGTTTAAAACAGGAAGCAAATTTTTTAAATGTATATAAGGTAGTTGCCTGAAAATATACATATATTAAAATTTATTCTGAGAGGACTAGAGTTAATGTAAATTGTGAGAGAATATTTTGATGGCGCTTAATTTTGAGCTGCTGAACTGAAAACTTACTGTAATTCACTGAAAAGTATGATTTCTAAGAAGCTTTTTCTTCTTTCACTTCCAACATACACACGGAAAGTATAGTCTACAGTGAAGTTTTAATTGCTATCGCCTCTGATAACATTGTTTTATTTTGGTCTCCCTTCTCTTAGAACATGTTTGTCTCAAGGCTTTCCTGTTTTGCTACTAATTTTATCACAAAAACTGTGTGATTGTAGCTTTTCCTGCAGTATTTTGATATGTATTCTAGTTGTTTCCAGTTAATTGTGTTAATGTTTGTCTATTGCATTTAGCAAAGTAAGATTATTTTCCTGTTCCACAGAGCTCCAAAGGAGTTTTCTGAGTTATTATTATTATTTTGATTTGTTTCATTAGGGGGCAGTAGAGCTCCTTGCTTACCTAACCTTCTCTGGCATTCACGGTGTTATTTGAAATAATATTCATAATACTTTGTGAAGTCAGTAGCAGTGGGAAATGCTAAGTGTTTACATTTCTAGTCTGTATATAACAATAGAGTTCTCTTGTTTCCATAACAAAATAAATGCCTATTGATCAGATATGTACAGAACAAATAAATGAAATCATCATGATTTCAGCTTTTGTTAATTTGTATAAGTTCATTTGCCAAAATGAAATTTATTAAACAGCCTTCTACACTGTGGACTTTTTTGTTACATTCTGTCACTCGTCATTTCTTCATGAGAAAAAAGGATAAAATTATCCCCAAGAGTTGCTTGGCTCTATTAGGTTATAGTGTAACTAGTTCCAGACTAATCAGAATCAGTTGAAGTTCTTATTTATAAAGAATAGCAATGTCATATGTAACAAATGTGGATAATTTTACAATGACAGTAACACTTAAACTTTGAAATTTTAAAAACATTTAAATATTTAAATTTTGCCCTTAGATCTTGCATTCTTGCATTTCTCCAGTCTGTTATGAACATGTGATGTATGGACAACTCCTACTTACTGTTTAACGTTACGTAAATTTGCCCTCACTTTGCAATGATTGAACCAACCCCTACTGTGCAAAAAATTCTTCACCACAGTCATCTTCAGTTGCTGCATGTGCAACTTTTAAATCATTGAAAAGACTTGAAGTCTTTTCTTGCACTGAAGTAAGGCTAAATAAGAACCGCATGCACCTGTTCTGACTTAAAGAACCAACAAATTCTACGTAAAGACTTAGACTTAAAGGCACTTAGGAGCGGATCACATTCATAACCTGGGGACTGCCTGTAATAATGTTTTGTGAATACGGAGATTCTAAATATACTTTGTTAGCAGCTGTTTCTCCCATTTTGAGTTGTGCCGTTTGGAGAAGAAACAGCTGCAAACATCTGTTAATAATTGGAACATGGAATGTACGAAGTATGATTCAAGGAAAATTGGAATTTGTCAAAAATGAAATGGAGCACTTGAAGGTCGATATCCTAGGCATTAGTGAACTGAAATGGACTGGTATTGGCCATTTTGAATCAGATTATCATATGGTCCACTGTGCCGGGAATGACAAATTGACGAGGAATGGTGTCACACTCATTGTTGAAAACAACATTTCGGGATCTGTTCTGAAATACAACTCTGTCAAAATAGGATAATATCCATAGGCCTGCAAGGAAGACCAATTAAAACAACTATTTATTCAAATTTATGCA